TAAGAGAAGCCATTTTAACAAGGCTTCTGTCCATTGGTTATGAACCCACATGCATACATCCAGTGTGTTATGCTAGGGCCAGGATTCAAACCACAGTGAGTCATGTGGTATCCAGCTTCCTTAAACACTAGGCCACAGGCCAAACCTAAGAGAAGCCATTTTAACAAGGCTTCTGTCCATTGGTTATGACTGAAGATTGCTCTATTGGACACATAAAGGAATAAAGAACTAAACCCAAGAGAAGGGCTTTCTAGAATCCCTAGGCCATCACAAAGAGGAACAAGTCAGAGGGCTAAAATGATACCACTATCCAAAAGAGCATTTTCCAGCCAGGGAAGACCAGGCAGGTGGGATTTCTCTGCATTTGGGGTTGTTCACACATACTACACTATGGAGGCTGTATTACTTTGCCTCTGGGCCCAAAATAGTTTTATTAAGAACAATCTAATGCCATATTTAAGGACCTTACAGAAGGTACTGCAGATGTCAAGACCATAGGTCCTCTGGGGAAAAGTTAAACCTCAGGAGAGACTGTGAGAGAATTTTTAAATGAAAAATAAAATCCTGACAATAAGGGAGACATAACTTGTTGTAACTTCTGATGACTCTACCAATGAAAAATTCCTCACTGTTCAAGCACACCAGGTCACTGGGATGCAAAGACTCCAAAGTGAGAAAAGAGGCAGCTCCATCATCTCTCTTCTGTTCGGGGAATATTGAAGCCAATCCCTACATAATTTGAAGCTACACGGTTCAAGAAATTTTGCAAAAGCTCCCCTCCGCCCTGCCCCAGGAAAACAGACTCCCAGCTCCCTCTGGTCTTCCTGAGCTAATAGTACAGGGTTCCCCTCTGCTTTATTTCACAGTGAGCAGATGGCAGTCTGAAATTTTTTTGATAAAAGCAATCCCCTGGCAGGGGTTGCTGAGAGGTCAGCGGAACCCAGATTAACAATTGATCAGCTCTAATGGACCATCACAGCAATAAACTCGGAGCTCGTACACAGACCTGCTACCTTGGTAATAGCGACGGGGCTGACACCCGAGCTGTTAACAGACTTGCGTTTAATAGCATCGAAGCTTCAGCAGCTTTGAAACCTTTGCGGAAAGAGAGACCCAGTCTTCACGCACATCCTTTGTATCAAAGGCCTTTCTTTTCAAAGGTTTCCACCAAAGTGTGGTTTACTCTGACCCAGAGAAGATTTCACCAAGGTCTAAGGTCCAGACAGCGAACGCTACTTTGTGATGTGGACAGAGCATTTTCGACACCAATTCAGTTCAGAACACAAACCTATCGGCTAGTACTGCTCTTGTACGTGTGCAGGACAGGTGACTGGGGAGGGGAAAGTGGACTCCCCTTCCTTAGAACAAAAACTAGAAACATGTTTTATCAATATCTTTTTAAGAATTCTTTTTAAATGAACTATAGAGTGTGTGTGCTCCCTGGAGAGACAAAGAGAGAGAGAAAGAGAGAGAGAACCTCCCCCTGGCGGGGGGGGCGGGTGGATGGCAATGCCACAATCCCTTCTCTTCCGTTCTTCTCTCCAGATTTTGAGCATGTGCACACATGCACCCAGCATGGTTTTCAAGCCACTGCATCTGAGATTTAAACCATGCAGTCAGCCATGAGGGGTCCATTCCAGTAGCCTTAACAACCATGCCACTGGCTGGCCCAGTAGCTACTTTTTTTTGAGAAAATTGCCAATGCTGCACTCATGTTCCTGGCACCATATTCAGAGGGGACCAGGTGTACTACACCCAAATTTTACTGTTAAGCTTCACCCACAGGAAATCAAAACACTCTTAGAGGATATGGAGTATACTTTCTCACTCCCTCTCTGTCTCTCTCTGTGCTGAGCTCACGCACCCTATAGCAAAAATCTCTCCAAAAATATAACTATGTGAGCCATAAATACTAGATCTCCCAACTGCCCTAACTTTCAATAATCTGTCTCACTCTCCTACAACCTCATTCCTTCCTGTTGGACCAATCAATTCATGTTTGGTCCCCAAAAAAACCAAGAATAAGGACATTCTGTGATAATAATGGTATAGGGCTTAAAATCAGGCAATTTGACATTAATACAAAAGTACTGTCTAATGCCCAGTCCATATTCAAATCTTTTTTCTTGATTAGGATCCAATTCAGGATCACACATTGTACTTAGTCGTCATGTACTCTTGTGTTTCTTTTACTTCGAAATAAGTCCTCAACATTTTTCTTGCCTTTTGTTTTTTCCAAAGGTTTTTGCCATAGGGCATGTATGCTTTCCAGTTTTCCTTGCCTTTTGTTTTTTCCAGAGGTTTTTGCCATAGGGCATGTATGCTTTCCAGAGAAAGACAGAGAGGGAAAATGAGAAATAACCCCTCCAGGGGAGATGGTCACACTGCAATCCCTCTCCACTCTCCTCTTGGGATTGTGGCCACACACGCATATGTGCCAGTGTGATTTTCAAGAGACTGGGTCCAGGACTCGAACCACAGCTGGACATGTGGGAGTTCAGTGCCTTAACCACCATGCTATCTGCCGGCCCAGTCTTGCATTTTTTTTTTGGGGGGGGGGAGGTTGCTATAGGGCACGTGTGCTCTCCAGAAAGACAGAGAGAGACAGAGAGAGAGAAATCACCTCCCCTGGAGGGGGTGGGGTGGTGATGGTCACACCACAATCCCTTCTCCTCCATTCTCCTCTTGGGATCTTGGGCACGCACACACACGCACCCGGCTTGAGTTTAAGCCACCGGGTCCGGGACTCGAACTGCGGTCTACTACATGGGAGTTCAGTGACATAGCCATTACACCAACTGCTGGTCCCTAGCCATTTTTGAAGAAGAGTCCAGCCAGTTTCTTTGTAGACTGTTTCTCAGTCTCGATTTGTCTGAAGTTTCATGGTGATTAGATTCCGGTTACACAGTTGGGACAAGACCTCTGCGTAAGTGATGCTGTATTCTTCCAGGTCATCACATCTAGAGGCACTCGGTGTCACCTTGTCTCATTATTCATGACATTAACTTTATTTGTTTAAAGTAGTGTCTGCTGGGGTTCGCCACAGTAAAGCTGCTATTTTATTTTTCCTTTGTGATTCGGAAGTAATTTGTGGGCAGATACTCTGAGACTGTAAAAGTCCTGTTCTTCATCAAGTTTTCACCCACTAGTTTTAGCACCCATTGACTCATGCCTGAATCAATCATTATCATAACTGTCCAGTTCCATCATTTCTTCTCCATTCCTTAGTTACAATACTACAGTAAGAGCATTCTCTCTTTATCTATTTAACTATTTATGTACTATGTTTACTTGTTATCAAAGTAGACTCATGGCATCTTAATTTACTGTTATAGCACCGTTAAGTTGGTTTGAATTAAGTCTCTATCACCTACACCGACATTATCCCTGAAAAGCCTTCAGGAACTCTGAGGAAAGGAGACCATTTCCCACAGCAACGCATTCAAGAGGACCTTCCAGTCTTTACACTCCCAAAAACACTTCCTAGTGCTTCTATTAAATCTCTCTGTCCTGCAATGGGAGCCCAGACCCTTAGAAGACAAGGGTCATTGAAGACAAATGAAGCCAATGAATGGCCCCTGGACATTCGTGGATCCACATGCAGCGATGGCTATCATAGGAAGGCAAGGTTCTTCTTACTCTCCTCTGCCCTTCTCTTGCAGCTTTGCTCACACAGCAGACCCAACTTCCCACTTCTCTCTCCGTGCTATCAACAGTCCCCAGCACTTCTCCAGCTTCCTAGAAACCTGCTACACGTGACAACATGTATGCCTCTGGATCTTCCGTCTATTGAATGCTATGCCTAAAAGCGACTACCAGATCATAATCTTCCTCCAAAATTCCACCTTTGCCAGATCTCCATGGGTGGCTGCCTTCCTCCACCAAGTACCCTTTCCATAGGGTGATTCTCGCTGTTCTGGACACCACCGCTCCCCTTACTTCTTCAGGCCACAGGGGTATACCACCACCACCATCGCTGCTTGTTGGTTTCTCCTAACCTTGACCACAGATCTGTAAATATTTCCTTCATTAAACTGTCTTCAATTACCCCATCTGAGTGTGCATTCTTTTACCCACAAGACAAAAAAATACAGATGGGAGTGATGACAAGAGGTACATCCGTGGTAGAGATGCAGCCAAAGGCTGTCTTTCATATTGACTTTGTGTGTGTGTGTGTGCTTAAAGATTTATGTCTGCCTTTATCTTTTTTCATATAAATGGAAACAAAGCAAAATAAACACAGTTTCCTAATTGTGACCACATGTCACTAAGAGAGAGATGTTTTAGCAAAGTGCAGCCTTCAAGATTAAGGTTTGCTTTGTTTTCCTAGCAGGGAGGAAAAGCCACAAAATTCAAAATGACAATTAGGATCAAAGTTCCTTCAAGAGGGCCCCAAAGGAACCTCCAAGTATTATTCAACTTGCCTGTTGTCTTTTACCATGCTTCTACACGTGCTAACATCCAAATTCTCCCCGGCCAAATGCAAGTGTGCTGTGATCAGAGCACCTACTATAGGAAGTGTACTAAATAGATGTTCAAACCCTAAGTCTGAGCAAGATTTAATTTTTAAATATAATTTATAATCAATTCAAGGTTAGAGCCATCACAGTATTGTTTCTAGTCAACTGCATTTCAAAATGGGATTTGGACATATCAACTGATCACGGAAAACTGAAAGCCCTGGTAGTTATTGTCAGTTGACTAATTTAATCCCCCCCACCCCAAATATGGGAAAAGTTCTTTGCAATCTGGTTTCACACATCTGATACAATGGGTGTGGCATCACCCATGGTAACACTCATGGATGGAAAATCAACTGTTTTGGTTGAGGACCACTATCCTGTCCTGTCAAGAAATCAGCACATTTATTCCAATGCAGTACCACCTTCTGGAAAGCCTTCCTCTTCCAATCACTGAAACTCGGTATTCCTGGTATACCTGCTATTTCACCGTTGGCAGCAAACACACAGGACGATTTAACGCAGACTATAACCCGGTACCTGTAAGTCCGCGTCAAACTCGTGCTTCAGGTGTGCTTCCTCTGCAGCCTCCACGAGACGCTGGAAAGACAGAAGGCAACGTTAAAAATTAAAATTAAGGCTTGAATCCTATCTGAAGAAAGTAAAAAGAACTGGGGTTTCTACACCGTCCAAAAAGGACAGATTACAATACTGTATATGCATCGTCCCCTGGTGCCTTTGTTCCCATAAAACTGAAAATAATGACATCAGTATTAAAAATCTACTTTGGGGGTGGGCAGCAGGTGGTGTAGTGGTTAAGGTGCTGAACTCCCATATAGCCGATTACAGTTTGAGTCCTGAACCCGGCGGCTTGAAACTCATGCCTGGCACTTCAGTGTGTGTGCCCAAGATCTTGAAAGAAGAGTGGAGGAGAAGCATTTGTAGTGTGGCCATCCCCCCGGGGGATGATTTCTCACTTTCTCTCTCTCTCTGTCTCTCTGGTGAACACACATGCCCTACGGCAAAAATCTCTCTTAAAAAATATTTACTTCTGCCTTCATTATATAATCCTTCCAATAAATAGTTATTGTTATACATACCTATAAATGCACATATGTTCTACACCCAAAGACACTGGTCCCTGAGGCTCAATGCCAATCCAAATTCTACCTAGTGCAGTGCATTCCTTAGGGACAGAGCCCCTTAGTCAAGATTTACTGAGTTGAATGGAGTCCAGTTCCAAGAAGGCTAACTTTCTTTCCCACTGGTTTGGAATAGAGGACTTATTTTAATTCCTTTAATAATTCAAGTTCCATTTCCTCTGCACCCAGTTCTAATATACAATTATCAGGTGGTAGCAATTTGCATTTTATGGTACATCAAATGCCATTTGACATTCTTCATCCCAATGAAACAATCACTGAAATGAACTCAATACTCAGCACCAACAAGAACCCGACTCTTGTTATTTTCTTCTCAGCCAACTAAATTCAGCAAATTCCTATTCTTGTGAAAACAATTTCATGACTTGTCTTCATTTAAAGTCAATTAGTCAACTATCAAAATCATCTTTAATTTGAATTTGCCAACAATATTTCCCACCATGAAAATACAGGCTAGAGAATATTGCAGAAAGCTCTCATTTAGTAAAATAACATTTCACTGAAATTGCATCAAACTAAGAGCAAAACCTTAGATCTAAGTAAAAACTCAACGACTTCTATTTTTACCATGGTTATGCTTGTAGCCTGAGGTCTTTAACTTGCTTTTTCTTGACATGCTATAGACCTAAATTTAACACAAATCATGTCTGAAAAATGGTGACATTAGTACTAATTTCTGTATGATCGCAAACAAATGTCAGACTAATGTCCAATGACTAATTATTAAATTGGATATGGAAAGAAAGAGGCTGAAATATATTTGGATAACTTTAAGCAGCTAGAGAGAGCTCTATAAGCCCTCTTTCTCCACAGGACATGCAGAGAGACAGGCCAGTGGAGACAGTGATGACCACAGACAGGAATCTATTGACAAATGTCTGTTTTTTTACGCTCCCTTGAGGAGCACATCTGAGAAGAACTCTTCCTTCTCTGGTCAATCAAAAAACAGACTCCAGAACTAGCCCCACGGTGCAGTAGATAAGGGCTGTGTGTAGGGAGCTTGATCCCATGACCACTGGATGGCCAACCTTGGCTTGAATCCCAACCCTGCTGGCTTGAAAAACACATCAGGCACGTGTGCATGTGTGCCACAAATCTGAATGGAATGGAGAAATGAGGGAAGGCCTTGGGGCATAGCCATGCCCCACTGATGGATGCTTGCTTGCTCACGCTCTTTCTCTTTCTCCCTCTCTCTCTCATGTCCTCTAGCATTAAAAACAAAATAAAACAACAAAATGCTTGCTTGCTTGCTTGCTCACGCTCTCTCTTTCTCTTTCTCCCTCTCTCTCTCATGCCCTCTAGCATTAAAAACAAAATAAAACAACAACAACAAAAAAGAATACCAGACTCCAGAGACTATCAGAAGCTACAGCCGAAAGACCTGGTCCTAATTTCAGCCTAAATGCTCACATCCTACTATGCTTGCAAAATCTTGAATAAACCTCTTTCCATCTCTGGGTCTGTTTCATCATCTGGAAAGCATGAAGAGGTGACCCTGGATAAGTTGTTCTCCTATTGGCAGCATTAGTTTCATCTGGAAACTTGTTAAAAATGTAAATTCTCAGGTCCAATCCCAGTCCTACTGAATCAGAAGCCTTGGGGTGGGGCCCAGACATCTGTTTTGACAGGCCCTACAGGTGATGCTGATGAGGCTGAAGTCTGACAACCACAGCTCTCACACAACCACAACTGCCCCACCCTGGCGGCCTTCATTAATGAGTTCCACCAACTGCCCAAGGTTTCTCTATTGTCATTTACTGTGTATAAATCTGTGTGCATATGCATTTTCACTTTTAGACATCAAGGTCTTTACATAAGAGAGACAAGAGGAGGGTGTGAGAAACAGGAAAAAAAGAAAAACAAGGGCCAGTACCGTAGTCTAGTGATTTTTTTTTTTTTTTGGAGAGGTTTTTGTTATAGGGCTCGTGCGCTCGCCAGACAGAGAGACATAGAGACAGAAAGCAAGAAATCACCCCCCAGGGGGGATGGTCACGCCGCAATCCCTTCTCCTCCATTCTCCTCTCGGGATCTTGGGCACGCACGCACACACGCCCGGCGTGAGTTTTAAGGCACCGGGTCCGGGACGCGAACTGCAGTCGACTACGTGGGAGTCCAGCGACATAGCCATTACGCTAACTGCGGGTCCCCCCCCCATAGTCTAGTGATTAAGGGAGTCATATTGCACATGGCCAACAGCAGTTTGGATCCTGGCCCCAGTGACATTAAAGACACACCAGGCACATATGCATACGTGCCCAAAATGCTGACAGGATCGAGAAATGGAGTTGAAGGGATTGCATTGTGACCACATCTCACTGGAGTGTGTATCTTTCTCTCTCTGTCTTTCTCTGGAAAGTTTATGTACCTATGGCAATTAAAAAATAGTAAGAGACACTAAGTAGAGATTGAGTACCCTGGCCTAAGCTTCTATGGGATCATGGTTGGGTGAAACCACCCTCGTCAATGAAGCTTCTCAGCATCCCAGGATAACATGGTATGATTTGCAATGTATCAATGTAGACCCTGACAGATGAGTGACAGGTAGTCACAGATATAAAATATAAGAAATAGATACAAGCTACACATAGATAAAAGAAATCTGTGTTTCTCAGAGCTTATTCCCTAACCTTTGTGATAGATTCTAAATTTCTATGCATGTATCACGAAATAAATTATATATGAAGCTCTATAAGAGATGGATAAATATTATTAAACATGTCTGAACACTGACATTATTGAAACAAGTCATGCATTTTGAACATTTATCTGCTTAAACACTTTAAAATTTTCATTTTACTGGTGTCTAAGAATCCAGAGAAAAGATCTTGATGAAATGTCCAAATGATCAGAAAGATAAGGGCAAAATAAATCTTCACCACAACCAAGACAGGTAACAGTGAAAAAAAAAAATCAAGGATCATAGGACCAATAACACCAAGTTGTAATGATCATGAAGGTGTACAGCATGAAACATATTTCGTACAAACATTTTACATATATATGTTCGCTCACATATATATGTATTCATATATGTATATATGTATATCATGCAGTCATACATAGCATACAACATAACCTACATGTGTGTGTGTGCCTCCTACATACTGCATAGCATATACCTATATAACATAACACAAAATGGATTTCTATTACAAACTACAATACAAGGCAGAGAACATGGGCACGTACATGCTGGAAATCACTCGATAACGCTGCACTAACTACTAATACCATGTTCTGTGCTGTGCGTGTGTGAGAACTGGCCCCTGCTAGCCAGCTTTTATGGCCATTTTCATTTGCTACATGCCTTTTCATTTAGCTCACATATTGATTGTTTCCATGAAAATATCTTCCCATCCTTCTCACTGTAAAGCTGTTGGAAATATTCAAGAAAAGGTAGTCAATCAGCAACCACACGTAATAGTCGTCTCATATGATGCAACTAATTAACTTGAAAGGATTTCGGCTCTTTGAAAGGATTTAGCCTTCATGCGGTTACCCACAGGGTTATCTCAACTGGCCCCTGATGCCTCTAGAATATAGATCTGCATTTTCTGAAAAAATTCAGGGAGCACCCCACTCCCCTAGAATGGGCTAAGCTGGTACACACAATGGTCATGGCAAATAGCACATCAAGAACTATGTGCCTTGTGGAAAGACAAAGCCTAGTTGATCTCTCTTCTCTAGTAAAGGTGAGCAATCTGGGAAAAAAAAATGCCATTTAAGAACAAAACCATGGGCTATAAATGTACCTCAAACAGAATCTTGGAGACAGAAGTTCCTGTTAATAAAATTAAAATAAAGGGAATCATCATCTAACAAGGTCTAGACCATTTGGCTTCAAATTCTGATGCTTGCCAGTAGAAAATGATAGCCTCTAGGTCAGCCGTGCTGACACGGCGGTAACGCCACGGCCTGTGATGACGAAGCCATATGGGAGGATCCCTGGCTTATGTCCCCAAGTCTCCCTGAACACATGAGGCATGTACCTGGGATTCAGGCTGGCTGAGCCTAGGGGTGCATCAAGGCATGCTGGGGGCACTCCCACCCCATTTTTCTCTCATGAAAGAAACAAACGGAAATAAATATATATATCCTATAATATCTCTTTCCTAAGCAAACATCCTTATCATCTAAGTCAAATGAAGTATGTTTTAAAAGTAAGTTTAACGCTCGCAGATAAGAAAAATCCATTAAATTTGCTAATATTTTAGTTATTATATAAGAACTACCCCTGAGCCTGGGGATAACTATCTATTAGAAAGGCAGTGTACTTTTAATAATCATAAGTTAATTTTCTCTTATATGAATTCCCTTTTTGGATCCTCAGATGGGATTATAGAATTGTGAATGTGGTTTTTTAATTAAAACTGAACACTAGAAATAAAAATGGTTTTAAAGACTGCAGTCTTCAGAACTGAGTATTGAGGTAAGAGA